TTCCTTTTGATGCACTGTCACTGTGGCTGGTGTCACTGGAAAGGTGACGTTCTCCAGATCACGAAATATATATATTTATTCAGCGCCGCGCTTTTTTTCTTTTATAAAAAATTGCTAAAGATTTTTAGCGTTTTCCATTCATGTATTTGGGGTGTAAAGTTTTTGCTTATTTTCTTTTGTTGACAACTAGGCAGATATGGCAATACCATTTATTTGCCAGTATGCAACTCTATTCTTGTTGAGCAAATGCATTGAATTTAACTAAAATAAAATATTTAAAATAAAGCTTTAGTTGCAATAAATATTAAAAAAATTAATATACAATAACGTTATAGTGAAGTGTTAGTAAATTAAAAGTGCATAATATAATTGAAAAAGTTATTCACAATATACAAATTATCAATTTAAAAGTTGACAATTTTTTAACTTTAAATACAAATATCCTTAAAACTATAGTCAGCGGAAACTATACACATATATTTTCGTGATCTGGAGAACGTCACCTTTCCAGTGATACCCATTTTATCCCCGAAATCCGGGGATAATATTCTAAATCCCTGCCTATTTTTAATAATAATAAGGCATTAAACAAACAAGCTATTTAAGTAGTTCAAATCAAAAGGTAAAACAGTGTAACTTATTTAACGAACGGATATTTGTAAGAAATATATTTCAGTAATATTTGTTGTTTAAAATTTTAGATGGATTCGACGAATACTTCGGTGAAATCGGAATGTGAATTTGATTCAGAACGCATTACAAATGACTTTACTACAATGCATAACAATCAGTATAACAAGGTTCCTTCAAACTTTCATGGTAACAACAGTGGACAAAATGTGAATTATCAAACTTATATGCACAACTCAGAAGATTTAGGAAGGATTAATGAACATAGAAGTGCGAATAGAGAGAGAGCATCTTTTGATCAAATGGTATTTTTTAACATGCACTCATAAAACGTTTCATATTGATCAATCTAATTTTAGCACTGCGGCCAAAATATTAAATCTGGGAGTGATTATTCTTTTGTATACACTASTGAAAACCCTTTAAGAAATGTTGAAGGAAGGTAGGTAATATATATATATTATATTAAATTTTAAATGTCAATTAAAGATTCTTTATTTGCAATTATGCAGCAATAAATTAGATGGTCAAACTGTTGAATACGATGATATACCCGTCATAGTAAACGGAAAATATTTCAAAATTATAGAAGAGGTATTTCCTAAAGCGGAGAAGATTTTCATACATTATATTGAAAAAAATTTTCATTTTTTCATCTTAATTTAATAGTAACTAGTTATTTTTAATTAAACCATTAATAATTATGTGCTTATCACAGATGAATGCTACTGAACATCAGCGGGTGACAAGGGGTATTGTAGCTGTATGCCAACATTGTCCACGTGAAAAGGTGAGATCTATACAAGGTTCTATGCGAATTACATCGAATTTCGTGCGTCATTTAAAAACTCTGCATCCAGAAAAGTACGAAGAATTCATTATTGAAAGACAAAATCATTCGCGTACACCCAGAGGAAGACGTACTCAAAAGCGAAAAGCATCCCAAATAGGAGAGGTGCAGGTAACTTATATATATCTACCCATGATACCAAATGTTATTAAGTGAATTTGTAAACACAGAATGAAAATAACTCAAGAACGGAAAAGTATATGAATGAATATGATAATAAAGAACATAGCTCAGATGGTGCTTCTATATATATTGATGACATGCAACCAACGTCGGCAAATAATTCAAATAATGTAGAGTAAGTTCTACAAAATAAATAGTACTGAAAAGTGGCTTTCTAAATTGCTTTAAGTAATCTCATTTGAAAATTAGCTTAACTTAGATAATATTTGCAGTAACCCCGATTTGTATTCAGCTGAATCCAATGATACACATATATCGGAAGAAAGTCTGGATAAAAGACAGACGGCCAGCACCTGCCAATTAACATGCGATCCAAACGAGATTCCTACAATATTAAATGGCAAATATTTTAAAATAGTCGAACAAGTACGAATTTTTAGCAATATTTAAATTCATATTTTAGTCTTTCAATTTATTTCAGGATACGAGTAGCAATCGCATTTCGATTAGCGTTGTAGCTGCTTGTCAATTCTGCGACAATGATAAATTCGTGAAAGGGCCACTAAGAGTTACTTCAAATTTTGTACAACATTTGCGTTCATGCCATTTCAAAGAGTATAATATGTATTTGCAAGAGAAATTCAACAGTAGTACCAGATGCCGACGATTGCTAAATAGGCAGCAAACACAATTACCGTTTGTGGAAAAAGTTTTAAATTTTATTTTGTTATCCAATATTCCAGTTTCTGTTTTAGAAGAACCCTCTTTTGTTGAACTTTTTCGGGGCACGGGATTAACAATGTGCTCCTGTGCGCAATTACTCGCTCGCTTAGATGATATGCATGGCGGCTTCGTAGAGGATACTAAGCGTAATTTGGAGGAAATACCGTATATTTGCAGTGCTGTTGATATTTGGACCAGTCGGAAAACACACTATTTTGGCTATAGTATTTTTTGGTTAGATAATGAATTAAAACGTCAAATGGCGGTTTTAGCTTGCGTTAAGCTGAGTGACTCACCCACTCACAAGGAAATCGAAGCTGTGATAACGCAAATTCAAAATAAGTACGATTTGAACGATGAAAAAATAATTTGTAATGTGATTGATAATGTGCACGATTTCGTACAAACTTACCATAATTTCAGTATTAAAAGTAAGTGAAAATTACGTACTAGCATTGGCATTAATTCATAATATTCACTTTTCTTGGAAGGCATCTGTCCCGATGACCATAACGACGATCTCAATATATCTCATAGTAATGCTCAAGTCCTGCTGAATCAACTTCCGAAGCAATTTAAATATGGTGAGCGGAGTCTGCATTTATTGACAGTATTTGATTTCGATAGAATATTGAAGTCCCATGACAGACTGCAGCATGCCTTAACGCGGTAACTACCTTGAGTTTACATAAGGGGTTAGGTGTAGTCAGAGACATAAAAAAATTATAATTAAAAATTTAAATTTTTTTGTCAGTAAATTATTTTATTTTATAAATGTAAAATGATAGCATCATTAAATGAGGTTTTGACTGGACATAGTAAAAGTGTGAAAAAAAAATTTATAATTTTAAAAGTAATGACTGTTTGTATTGATCCTGTTTCAACCGTAGTTCCTTATGATGACCATCCCCAATTTGCAGCAACCCCTGGAGATAACATCACTTGGACAAAAAAATATAGTTATATTAATAGATAATCTAGTGCCTGATTGAAGCTTTTTAAATTAACAAAATCTCGGATTGAGCATTTTTTATTTTCGCAGAAAACACACCATTAAAAAAAAAGTCGAAAAAACCTTTCGATCAGGCCCGCTTTTTTCAATTTTTAAAAACGCTGTATAAATTTCATTGAAATCCACGGAGCTGTTTTCGAGTTACAGTGGTTACTGGTTTAAAAAACATAGTTTTCGAAAAAATCATTTAAAGTTTTACACTCAATTTTACCGTTCGTTTGCAGATACCTGCTCTTGAACGTTTCAGAACGTCCGATACGCTTTGCTAATTACAGAATATCTCGTACAGTATTTTTTCGGATTTACCTAAAATTTCAAGAGAACTTTTTAAAGACTTTTTTTCATCATGAAATCCCTGACTACCCCTAATCTAGCAAAACCTCTCAACTAATTTAATTTAAATAACATTACAAACTATTTTAGCTGTTTAATTTTATTAAACAAATGCAGCGATGTTGATGCTAGTGAAATTGCGAGATTTTTATTTGAAGGCCATTTGCCACTATCTGATGTGCGTTGGCCAATATGGTATACATCGTTAACACAACTTATCAAAGAAAAACACAAAATAAACGAGTTATGCAATTTTTTGAACCAACCCAAATTAGTCCAAATCGACATAGAATATCTGGAAGACTTTTGCATGATACTCAAGCCCATTGCAGATGCTATAGAGTTTTTACAGCAAGACAATTATTTATATTTCGGTTATTTTCTACCATCTCTTGTTACAATTAAGGTGAAATTGAAAAAATTACATGAAAGTAGACACATAAGACACTTGCATACTGTGGCTCAGAATATGAGTGATGCTTTATTGTGTCGTTTACGGAGCTATTTTGAGGTTACCCCTGAGTGCAACGATGCCATAATTGCAGCAGTTGTTTGCCCTGCTGTAAAAATGCGTTTTGTGGAAGCTTTGCGTGAGACAGCACCCAATATTACGACCGATTCGATAATGCTTCTTTTTATAGACTATGCACAAGAGTTCTATATAGATAATGAACAGGCAGAGGATTTAAGGGAGCAACGCCCGCCATCTGTAGATTCATTTCTCTGCTTTAATCCGGATGATAACGAAGGTAATTTCTGTATATTATTATTTTAGGATTATGATTTGAAAACTAATCTAACGTATTCAAAAATTTAGAGTTTGAAATAAAATGAACAAGATATATATGTTAGTTTCGACAAAACCAACTTGCGCAAAATTATTAGACAATTCTATTATAGATCCGCCATTAGATAATAAACCATGCGTCGCTATACGTAGAGAGTTCTCTAGTTATTTGTACGATGATGATAAAACTTTATCTTGCTTAAGTCGCTATCCAATTGTGAATAAAGTTTTCCTTAAGTATAATACTTTGCCAGCTACTTCAATGCTGTTGGAAAAATTTTTCCGCACATTTCTGAATGTGATTAATGGACAAAAAGGTCAACATCTAACTGATGAACATTTAGAGCGTCTTGTACTTACTAAGGTGAATAAAATATTGTAGAAAAAAATATATGGTAAATTAATTGCGTTTATATTTTGGATATGTTTATAATGTATTATTAAAAAAAAATTTATATTCTATTTTCATCTAACGTTAATTTAAATTAAAAAATAAATAATTTATATGTTCAAACACATTTGTAAATTTTATGGATAACATATTTTTAATAATGTGTAATTTAAAAGTAGGCACAAGCGGTTTGAAATTGGCATCAAATTTTTGCAGTGAAAGAGCTATGATACTTCACTCGTTACTGTATATTATTACATACATATAAACCACTGCTATTCCACCCAATCTGTATCGTTGTCCTCGTCGTGGGTATCGTCGTCGTCATCAGAGTTTTTACGCCCGGTGGGTGGTGGTATTAGTGCCGATAAACGAGACATAACTGGGTTATCGGTAGAAGTTGTAACTCCTTTGCGTACAGAATTAGTAGAGTAATTATTTTCCTGGTTTTTTGATCCTGAAATGCCCTTACGTCGCATTAATAATTTATTGTGTAAATCAGCCATGAGATCTCCTCCACCACTTTTGTTTGCTATGGGTTTGATTTCACTATTTTTGGTTCGTAATTTAGTATCGACTACATCAACCGGGGCAGCAGCGGCAGTACGTAATCTACCACCACTTGCACCACCAGCTTTTCGTATAGCATCCATTAACTCAGTTCGAGCATTATTGGTGTTCGGGTTTTGTAAATGTGAGTTTTCGTTTTTCGCATTATATTCCATTGGTGTTGTCGATGTATGTGGTGGGGGTAATGGTGGTGGTGGAGGCGGTGGAGGTGGTGCTGGTGCCACTGATACTTGTGCACTTTTTGAGATTGGAGCCAGGACTGTGTTCGTTGTTGGCGGTTGAGATGAATGTTCAAGTACAATACCTTGTTTTTCATTAGGATTAGATATATTTGTCGCAATTGTAGCTGCCTCCTCTAACTCAGCCAGATCGGGTAAGTTTTCGATATATAATGATGGGGCAATTTGCTGATGCTCTTTACCCTCAAATTGTATATCATCAGCAATACCTGGTAAATCGGGCAAGTCCAGTGGTAGATTGATTTCCGGTGCCTCATGCAATCGTGGTGTGTAGCGAAGGCCTCCTAAAGAATCTGTTTTTTGATTGCGATGCGCTAATGAATAGGGTGCTGGATCTAAAAGTTGCTTAATTTCGGTATTATCCTGACGTTGACGTTGTATTTTAAAGAGCTTAGCTTTTTTCCATGCCTCCTTTTCAACATTTTCCTGACCGTAAACCATTTCGTTGCCATTACAATGTAACAATGAGGATACTGATCGTAATTTTTCTGGTACCATACCCATACCAGAACTTTTGTTTACATGTAGTCTGTTGGCAGCCACAGTATTACCCGGATATGATTCGTTCATATCCTTATTGCGAACATGGAAGAAAACCAATTTTTCTTGTAACGCTTGCGATGCAGATACATCTATACGACCATGCACTTCGTAATTTAATTGTTCTTTATGTTTTTGATTATTTATATGTTCGTCCAACATTGTTTCCAAATTACCGAAGGTTTGTGGTATATCATAAAAAACTTGTGTTGATGGAAAACGAGCTGGAGCGTAAATTCTGATGGCTTTTTTTGTGCCCACCAAACTGCGTATTTTCGCTTGTGCCCGTTTAATACGCGCACTCAACTCTTGTACTTTAGCATTATTGTGTTGGGTACGATTATCGATGCAGTCAAATACAGAATTTATTGTTTTTTGAAGACAACTGAGAGCTATGGCTGCTTGGATGATTGTTTCTTCATGTCGTAGATCAGGAGGTATCACAGCTACTGTATACATTGCAAGCTTTAACGTATTTTGTATTTATATTGTTTTGTATATTTTGGTCAATAGTTGTGTATTTAAAAATTAAGTAATAATTGTAAGGCAAAGCTTTGGTTTTATCCTTCACAAGTGCAATTTAGCAACTAAACAGCTGATAATTATGTTTTAAAAGCACTGTATTGAGTGGGTATGCCTGATATGATGCCTTGAAAGATTCTTTAATAGAATATACATATATCTGTATAAAACCCTTTAACTTAAATTTTTATTTGAGGTAGTCGTATAAAAAAATGATCGAAATACACGAAATTCACGAAATTACCGAAGGAAAAATTATCAAAAATCAGAATTAGGTGTGCTGGTGTTTCCTGTTCCCGGTCGCAGAACCGGCAGTTAGCACAGGAGACCATGCCCACGTTGGTCAGGTGTTTCCTGAGCTTACAGTGCCCTGTGTAGATTGCGACGAGGAGACGAAATTTTTCTCGGGTTAGGTGGATTAGTTCTTTAAACCTGGAGAGATTGTATCCTCTCAGGAGCAGCTTGGCGTGGCGCATACTTGCTGCCTGCCGCCAGTACCGTTCTCTTTCCTCTCTCTCCTCCGTGCGGAGCAGCTCCTTAAGAGTGTAGGGTCCTACCGCTATGTATTGCTCTGGTCCCAGCATCTTGGATACTGCCGCAGTGCGGGCCAGTTCGTCGGCCTTCTCATTACCTTCTACTCCTTTTTGCCCTGGTACCCACATTAGGTGCATCGAATGCACAAGGACAGGCGGTTTAGCCTTTCTATACATTCCTCAACTAAAAGCGATTTGGTCTCGTATGACAAGATCGCTTTTAGAGCCGCTTGACTATCGCTGAGAATAGCTACGCTCTGATTGCGATAGTTGCGGCTGAGGTTGACTTCAGCGCACTGATGGATGACAAAAACTTCTGCCTGGAAGATACTTGGGAAGCAGCCCATAGGTATGGACAGCTCGGTACGTGGTCCCACAATACCTGCCTCAATACCTTCCGGGCTTTTAGAGCCATCAGTGTACCATTGAATGGTACTGTCCTCCAGCAGCCTTTCCAGCGTGGAGTCATTCCACTCCGTTTTGCTGCCTAGAGTAACTTTAAAGTTCTTCTTGAGATTAATTTTCTTCGTAGTGCTGTCCTTTGGGAGGAGGGCTAGCGGTGTGCTTTCCGCTAGTGAGTCCATCTGTCTAGAGGACATTACCTCCCTCATCCACAGCCTTCTGCTGACATCAGCAGCATGGTGTGTTTTGCTGCTAGCTTGATCACCTGATGCAGCGGTCTGAGCTCTAGTATGACTTCCAGTGCCACCGTGGGGCATGTGCGCATTGCCGCCGAAGCACAGACACATGCAAGTCTTTGCAGCTTTGACAGCCTCCGAATCACTGAAGACTGCGCTGCTTTGGTAGCCCAGGCAACCGCTCCATAGGTGACGATAGGCCTCACTATCATGGTATACAGCCATCTGATGACACTTGGCTTGCATCCCCATGGTCTGCCGGCCAGGCGTCTGCAAATCATAAGTGCTCTTGTTGCTTTGGACAGCGTTAAGTCCAAATGCCTACTCCACCCTAATGATGAGTCTAAGGTGAGGCCAAGGAATTTGACCTCCTTAGACATTTCCACCTCTGTGCCTTCAATTGTTAGGGACCTCAGCCCCGGAAGAGATCTCCGCTTAGTGAATGGGATCACGGTGGTTTTTGCTGGGTTGATATTTAGCCCTACCGTGTTGCACCACCCAAGTTTAAGCCCCTTTGTACAATGTCACAGAGAGTGTTCTCAAATCAACCTCTCGCCATTATGACAATGTCGTCCGCGTACCCTTGACAGCGGATTCCATTGCTGGTGAGCAGCTCGAGTAGTTCGTCTACTATCAGGCTCCAAAGCAGAGGGGATAGTACTCCACCCAGTAGGCAGCCCCTTGTGGTGCCAAGACGAATCTTACTTTCTCCCGTTGTTGTTTCTGCTACCCTAGTGCGCAGAAGGCGAAATAACGTATAATCAAAAAGTTCAAAATTGAGTTTTTTACTGATTACGATTCACCACATCATATTACAATATTACATAATCTATATTAAAAATTCAAAAAGAAAAAACGTATCATCAAGTGCTTGATTTCGTTAAAAAAAAATAACGTATTTGTTCCCACCCAACTCTCTTTCGGTATATGAGTAGAGAAGGACCCGCCAGAGTTCGGTTTAGCGACTCCATGATCCAAGAGATCCAGTATTAAGTCAAAGTGAGAGAGGTTTTCCGAGTGTTCAGTTCCGTGCATTTTTAGGAATTCGGCAGCCTAATTTTTTGCACACGCAAAGTTTAACAATAACTAAGAAGAAAAAGCAACATTTGCAGTACCTAGAAACTTTGATTTCAGCAGACTGTTAATTAATTGTTTAATAAATAATAATTAGTTTTTTAGCTTGAAATATTTTAACTTTTTCTAGTACTTATGTGCAATATGAAAAACTTGAAAATGTTTTAATTTAAAATTAAAAAAGGGTAAATATTGATCATGATTTTGATATTGATTGAAGATCATACGTTATTTTGTTTCAGAAATGAAAATTCAAAGTAACGTAAGACACCTACCATAAAATTTGCTTCAATTTTTCTTTATTATTTTTTTTTTTTAAATACGCTTAGTACACATATAGTTTCACGTTTATTCAGATTTGAAAATTCTTTTTCAATATCTCAAGTTGTTTTCTTATTACAGTGAAACTTCGATAACTCGTATTTGCAAGATACCACAAATTAAATACGAGTTATGGAGTTTTTCAAGTTATCAAGTTATACAACTTATAGAGGCAACATACAGAATATACGAATTATAGAGTTTTATTAATTTATTTTTTCAATTTTACATAAAAAACACGTAAGGAAGGGCTAAGTTCGGGTGTCACCGAACATTTTATACTCTCGCATGATAAAGTGATAATCGAGATTTCAGGCGTGGTTGTGAACCGA